TAATATCACATGCACTTTTTTGTTTGTTTTTAAATTTTTTTTGTCACTCAGACGCAGGCAGTGCGCTGCATGAGACAAAAAAGTAATATAGCCAAAACAACCGCATAGCCACTCTTTAGTGTAGATGCATGTTGATTTTATCAGACGATGCCGCGATTATAAATGAGAGTGACTCCTGGTTAACATGTATTAAAAGGGGTCGTGTTTAGTCACTATTTAGTGTGGTATTTTTTGACAATATTCACTCATCATAACAGTAAAATAGGGCATTCTAAGTCAATATACTGCAGTATTTCCTCTCTCAATCAGTAGAAAATATGGTTAGCACCCGGTCATGCATGAAAAAAAAATACCGTCTTGTACCGTGAAACCGGTATAATTTTGAAAAATACCGTAATATAAATTTTTGGTCATACCGCCCAGCACTATGTTCTCATAATAATGTTAAAACTACAGCAGTGACTGCCTACTAGATGACTGTGACTGGCCAAATGATATCACACGTATCTATTATGTGTCTTACGTATGTAAGTGTGTGTACGTGTGTGACGTATTTGAAAAACATTAGGCCTAGTTGTGCGATGAATGAAATTTGAGTTTCAGTTTCGGTTTTAATAAAAAAGGTCTGTCTTGGCGAGTATTTACATAAAACAGTCAGTTATGTCGTAAATGAACACAAACAGATTGGGAAAGAAATTCGATGCATGTCAGTATATTAGAACTATGCATTCTGTCTTAAAGAGACAGAAGCCTAATAAACCTACTGCTGTCTGTGTCATTAAAGGTGACATAACACACACAGTTTCAGACAATCTCATGTTAATCTTGAGTACCTATATAGCAGTATTGCATCCTTCATATCTCCTAAGTACCGTACCGAGGGCGGAGCTAAAGAGTCACAAGCAATTACACGCTAATTGCCAACAAAACACAGAAATTTGATGCAGTTTTACTTACCGCCTGTGGTTCCAGCTTATGACCGGTATCTTTTATTTTATTTAATTCATCTGTTTAATTCATACAGTGATGCAGTGTTTTAAAGTTTTACAACTCAGGTTTTAATGATCATGTTGACAACTGATTGTTTAAAGCAATACTGTTTTTTTTAAACTGTGCAAATAGATAATTCATAGGCTTGTTCCAGTCTGGATATTCTCGATAGTACATCTCAAAATTGGGAAAATCACGATTCGGATCGTGGATCGTGATTTTGCTTTATAAGTGCGTGACATGATATTTTGGGAAGATCGCCCACCCCTACTCGACATAACCAAATGGTCAACCATTGAATATATGATTTGCATATCATATATTCAATGCATATATATATATATATATTTTATGCATTTATATTTAGGTTTTATGGGTCTTTTATTTCATTTCATTTCATGTTACTGCTATACCACAGCACTAACCATTGTTGGATATAGATGACTAACACCTGGCCCTCTGTCCTTATGTGGTGTTGATCGTGCTTTTATTAAAACAAACCTTTCACCTCCCTCCAACCACCAATTCCGTGCGTCACACAGCTATTTGGCCATTGCTGGCATTTATGAACGGGTTGAGTGCAAACAAGGATCTATTCTTGATGGGCTAGAATTTCCACTGGCTTGGAAAAACAAATAACTAACTTCCCTGAAATGGTTCTCTCTGCACGCATTGCTTGTGTTCGTCACCGATTCCATGCATTACCAACCTGACAACACTCTGTGAAGAAATTAGTCTGATTTTATTGCTTCTGAGACTTCAGGTGACAACAGATGACAATCACCTCTGATTTAATTTGCTCTTGAATGTGTTTGCAGCATTTTCATATTGTTTACAGCTGTGTTTGATGATTCACATGCTGTAATAGCATGTTTGTGAATTGAGGATCTCTTTGACCTCTCTTGGTAAAAAGTTGCATTTCACCATTGCATAGAAATAATTTCATATATTTTGAAGGTTATTGTCATCTTACAGAGTCCTTGACCAAAGTCAGAACTCTGTGGGTAAGAAAATAGTGTTAAGTGTTAGTCAGAGTCTCAATTATAGCAAGAACAGCACTTCAAGTTGGAAAAAAAAAAGAGAGGAGGAAGAAAAAGCTTGCTTCCGGACAGTGTTAAGCGGCCAACTGCAGCTCAACAGGTTTGTAGTGTGGAGTGCGGTTTTATTTCACAGAAATTTTTGGAGCTGTTTTTTATGGCAAAACCTGGTTTCATTTAAATTTATTATAGTGTATATGGATTTAGTTTTCCTTCACGTTTGGTAATGATGCAGATCCTTGGAAATTTGATAGCAGAGTGTAGCAGAACAGGACACAGGGTATTGACACAGTGATGATTGACAACGTCAATGCAAAATGTAAGCAGATAATGTTTAATACAATGAAAATAGGGCTTGACGTGCAAATAGTCACGAGCTGGCTGTGTGTTTCTCTGTCAAAATGAGGCTGTTGAGTTCCCTAAAGGAGAAAGTGGCCTGTAAACATTGTATACTGGCATTGAAAAATGTCATATTTATGAGTTTGCAAAATGCTACAAATTATTATAGAATTTTAAAAAATGTAGTCAATTGGTACATGAAAAATCAAAATATAAATGTTAAAAGTGGAGTAAACGGTGAGTTCTCTCTATGATGTTTCTCTATAATGTCTTTTTTTTGGGTCAGTGTCGGAAAAAAAAAACAGTAGGATTATTTTTTTTTTTTTTTTTGGTGGTCATCTATTATTTATAAAGTTCAGTCATTTGTAAAGTTTAATGTAGGGGCAACCACTTTCTGCACAGTGAAGTTTTTTTTTTTTTTTTTTTTCCAGGAACAAAACCTCATTCTCACACAGGACGTGGTCTTCCGCAGACATTTCACACTTTCAGAGAATGATGACGTGTTTCCAGAGGTTAAAAAAAATAAAAAATCTAGAGACACAATGTTCTCTTCTGTAATTGACTCATTTGTCATAGACTGAGCAGTTACACTTTTAGCACCTAATAATTCAGTTCGGTATTAAATCTAATTCCTAAAGCCAAAACATAGTTTTAGTAAAACTAAATAATCATCAAGATTACCATTACAGTTATGCTGGTTACAGCATTCCATTTGCATATATCCCTGTTGCGTTTTTATATCACTTTTGTTTGTTAACACAAAGTGCTGAAGAAACATCACCAGACAGCCAGAAAGAAGCTTTAGAAATAAATCGAAAAGCATCGTTGTTAATTTCCAACTATTTTGGATTCGCTAGATGTTGCACCACTCAGTTGCAGTGTCGATGATTTATACCCAATATACACTATAAGCAAGAAATGTGACAAACCTAGAATACCACTTTTCAAATCAACAAAGCATAGTAAATTAAATAGATTTATTCTGCAGTGTGGACAGCTTTGTTTATAATAATAGGAGCATTTGTATGCGTTAGAATCCAGAGCTCACACTGAACTGTAGCGCTCAAAAAGTTCTAAAAAGTTATAATCGGAGTGTATTGTAGCTTTGGTTGTTTTCTGTGTATAATTTACTTAAAATACAAAATAAAATAAAAGTTTTGTTTTTGATGCTGCTTTAAAGGCCAATGTGAAGTTCACCATTTAGTCTTAATTTACTAAATAAATAGCAATAAATAAATTCAGAAACAGTCTGTTTTGGATGTGTAGCTACACAAAAGATGTCAGATTCCTTACTCAAAATAGCATTTTTAATATTAATTTCATTAATCTACGATAATGATTGTGATTACAATGTCAAAGGAAATTGATTTTGTCAGTCAGTATCATTATTAGCATTAGAAATGGTCAAGGCAAGAGGAAAATACAGATCTTGTTCTGGGTTTCTGTCTCCACTTAATTCACTTGTGACCCCTAAAAGACTCAAGGACAGGATGAGTTTAACAGATTGGACACATCACTGAAATACCTCCTGCACTTATCAGATTTACGACATTTAAGAGTGTAAGCCGGTAAAATGTTATATATACAGTGGGTACGGAAAGTATTCAGACCCCCTTAAATTTTTCACTCTTTGTTATATTATATGACCGATTCGCTTTGCCAAAGGTCCCTCAGAAACGATGTATGTGATGAAGAGCAGGAAACATCCCCTCCACAGCATGATTCAGCCTCTCCAGCCCAGACCACAGAGGCCAGATGTCGGAGGCTCCGACTGGTTACCGAATGCTGTGTTTTGTCCTCTAAATTATTTGAATCTCTAGGATTAAAATTTAATAGTCACTTATCCATTTTTAATGACTCAACTTGAAATGGGGATATTGAATATCCACAGCTCTTAAGAAAAGTTTGGTACAGCTACTTTGCATCAAGATAATGATTGTGAAGTTTATCTATGTCTTAAAGGGGTCATATGATGCGATTTCAAGTTTTCCTTTCTCTTTGGAGTGTTACAAGCTGATTGTGCATAGATAAGATCCCTGAAGTTGCAAAGACTAAAGTCTCAAAACCAAAGAGATATTCTTTATCAAAGTTAAGACTCTGCCACGCCCCCCTAAAACGGCTCATTCTAACACGCCCCCACATATCTACCCCACTATGTGGAAATATTTGCATAATCCCGCCGCAAATGTGCACGCAAAGAAAGAAGGCATGGTGTCAGTAACCGCAGTTAGTGTTGAAGCAACCATGTCAGGGAGACGCTGTGTGTTTCAGTGCGAAAGCAAAAGCACTTTATTTGGATCACTTACAACAGAACAGCAATGCATTTTATGGACGACCGTTTCGTGAACCTAGGAGAGGAGGTAATGCGGAGTCTGAGAGAGGCGGGGCATAGAGGACCTACAATAATGTACAGTATTTTAAAAATAATGTGTTTTTTGAACATTAAAGCATGTCAACATATTCTGTTACACCAAAATACACAAAATAATGATCTTTAAAAAAGCATCATATGACCCCTTTAAATAGCATTTCTTTGCTCCAAATTTGAGTGGACATAGTGATTTTTACTTGTGTGTGTGAGAATGGAGAACTTTTCTCTCACCTTGAGTCTCTCCTCGTGTTTGATCTCTGCAGAGTTTTCCCTCTGATGAGGGCTGGCCGTTCGCCAAATACCTGGGGGCCTGTGGCCGGATGGTGGCGGTGAATTACGTGGGCGAGGAGCTCTGGAGCTTCTACAATGCACCCTGGGAGAAAAGAGTGGATCTGGCCAAGCAGCTGATGGACATCGCCGAGCAGCTGACCAACAACGACTTTGACTTTGCACTTTACCTCCTAGACGTGAGCTTCGACAACTTTGCAGTTGGGCCTCGTGACGGAAAAGTCATCGTCGTCGATGCAGAAAACATCATCGTGGCGGACAAAAGATTGATTAAGCAGAGTAAGTAACGACTTCACTCCAGCATCTCCATGCTCTTGCTTTACAGCATTAATAAATTGTGCAGGAAACTGTTATCCAGTTTAGACGGTGTGGTGTGGTGTTGTTGTTTTTTTCTTTTGTCTACTTTCATATGTTCTGACCCACTTTCAATTTTCCCTCAGATGGGCTGGTGCACCTGTTTTTTGTACTTTGCCTTCCCCATCAAAATAAATGTTTTTCAGGACTTTCAGGAGGAATTCGTTCATCGTCTGTTTGATTACGTCTTTAATTGATTTTTCCGTACATTTCTGCCATATGTACATTAACTGACAGTCACCACTTATAAGCTACCACTAAATATTGTAGAAACTTAATTTGCTGTAAAGTTGCTTTGCAACGATTTGTATCGTGAAAAGCGCTATACAAATAAACTTGAATTGAATTGAATTATCACAGTATTACAGACAAGGTAGAAACCTGCATGGGCCTCCCACACTGTCAGATTTGTAATTAAAGTCTCATTGCTGTTTGTTTTTTGGAACTTTTAAGAACTCTACACATGAATAAAGCACAGACGGCTTTCCTGTAGCTCTGTAGAGCCCAGGGTCGAAAATTAGTGGGAACTTGGTCAAAAATACACTCCAAATTCAAGATAAGGATGCAAAAAATTAAGTTAAAAAGAGTTGAGCATTATATAACAAGTCACACACATTTCTCTTGAGCTTATTCGTGCAATGGCCAATCATAGGGGTTTAGTCACCGCTGAAAACGCAGGAGTTTTGTTCAGTGCACGTGCTCGCTGACTGAATTCTGAATCTGCACTCGCAATAATTATCTAATCACAAAAAAACAAAGTGCAGATGCAATGCAAGTAAGAGATTAATTTTGCAGTTGTACACAGCTTCAGTGATTATAACAGGAGTTATTGCTTGAGTGCATAACTCATGCTAGACTTATGGAGATATAATTGTTGCATATTTCCAAATAAATAGATTATGATCCACAAATAAATAAAGAGATTAACAAAAATGAAACATATTGACAAATAAATAGAATGAGATCCACTAATAAATCTTAGTTTCACAAACATGAATTAAATTCACTAAAAAATAAAATTGTTACAAATAAAAAGCGTATACACAAATGTCTTTTTTTATGTCACAAACACATCTTTGCCTGGCATTCATTTGTGAATCGTGTCTTGTGCGTTTGTAGATCGCTCCCCCTACATTTGTGAATGGCTTTATGTACATTTTTAGTGTCAAGACGCTGGCAAATCCACACATGCATGGACTCCACCCACCGCCTACTCAAGCCAATCAGAAAACAGCCACATTTCACTGACCAGTCGTAGCACGTTCTCGCTATAACAATCACGTTTTGCTTTACAATCAGGGTGGTCTCTTCCTGAAATAACTTTCTAATTTATCTGCATTGGCTCTAATATGAAATATAAGGCCACAAAAATTGGTACAGCAAAATGTTTAAAATTGGATTTTGTTAGACCATTAGTCTGTGTATCAAGCCAGGCCACAGTATTATATTTTACGTGCCTTTGAAAATGCCAGAGAAACAAGCACTTTAAATCACGGCTATGTGAACAACGCTATACTGGATACAGATGCGTTATAGAAGCGTTGTGTTATTCAAGATGGAAAGAAAAGCATCAATAAGTAACTGACTAATAAATAACTGTATTCAACCTCATGATAAACATACGAGTTTGTGTAATAGGTTAAATTGCCGTCATTCAACAGCCAACAGCGTTTCCCATTTTTTTCAGTCAAGCCATTTAAATGATTTATATGAGCAGCTTTGTGGATCTAATGATGTATAAAGCATTGTAAATAATATTTTCAAACATTAATTAAAAGTATTACAAAGTTGCCATTGTTTGGGGAGGAAAAAATATACGTGGGTTCTTTTTTTTAACGATCAAAACTTGTTTCTGTTAACATTAGTTAATACACTGTGAACTTTATTAACATTTTTATTAACTAACATTAACAAAGGTTGATGTATTTGTTCATTTTTATTTGTAAGGTGTTACATGTTTAGTTTTTAATAACAGGTTAATAACATTTGGTGGGTGAATAGTTAACCCCCCCCCCAATCATTTACTCACTCTGATTTTGTTCCAAACCTGTATGAGTTTCTTTCTTCTGCTGAATACAAAAGAAGATATTTTGAAGATTGTCTCATCTGTTTCCGTCCATACAATGAAAGTCAGTGGGGCTCCTTTGTGTTCCATAGAAGTCATACTGGTTTGAAATGACATGAGGGTGAATAAATGATGAACTGTCTCTTTAATTTAAGATTTCCATGAGTTCTGGAACAATATTTTGTGCTGTTCCTCCATAAACCTCTGGATGTGATTCTCAGCACACACAGCAAAAGAGAAAAGCACCGAAGCCAACGTGTGCTCTGATTGGCTCTGGCACATTACCTCCCCTGGATCTCATAATTGGCTCCCATGAGAGTGATTGGCAGCACAGTGACTTCATTTTCTCTAATTAGTTATTGGCGTGATATTGAGCTGTGTCAAATGACCAAGACAGCAAATGCCGAACTCTTTAAGGCGCTTTATGACTCAATATAGTTTTGCTGATGAATAGATGTCACAGCCCAGTCTATTTCTGCACCCCACCACCTCCTCCTAGAAGATCCTCAGCTTTATCGATTTGTTCAGCATTACAATGGGTGGCTAGAGAAGAACTGCACCTGCTTTCAGAAGCAATTATTATTTGTCTTCTCACAGTGAAGAGCTGAATCAAGTCAATGTCTTTATTCTGCAGATCGTTCCATTTTAGTGTAGGTTGTGCTTTTTGAAGAAGATTGAAACTACAAGAAATAAAGCGATGTGTAATGATAAAGAGCTTTTTTTGTTGTTGTCTGATACACAGAATGTAACGGCAAGTTGTTTTTAAAAGGAAAAGCCAGTGGAATAAGGATTAGGCCGGATTGAATAAAAGTCAGCTGACTGAAACTAGGCATGTTGTGAAACACAGGAGAACTTGACTAGAAGTTCAATCATTGCTTCTGCAAAGGATAGTGAACTTGTGTTGAATGTTAACATGAAATTTACCCTATTTTTTCCCCTTAATACGTGTTCCTGGTCTCTTTTTTTTTTGTGCATTTTACTTGTATATTTATTTATTTTATTTTTTTACCTACAGCCAAATATTTAGCCATTGTTTTAGGCTAATGTTTTAGATAATGCAACCTTTTCGATGTTTTTAATTTGATTTAATTAATCGAGTCTTAATTTAAGAATTAAAAGAGTAATTAAATGCCAGTTTACGTTGTAATGAAATCTACTGCAAACATATGCAATAAGAATAGATTCAAAAATAATGTTAGGTGTCATGAAATGTTTAGTCTACCTGTTGAGTATAGGACCCCAAAGCAATTTGACTGAAAAGTACTCTTATCTGTGCCTGATCAGAAATCCTAAATCAGTCGTGCACTACCGTTACAAAGTTTGGGGTCATTACGATTTTTTCCTATTTAAAAAAAAACTACATATATTCACCACAGCTACGTTTATTTGATCAAAATACAGCAAAAAGAGTATTATTATGAAATATTATTACAATTTAAATTATTATTACAATTGTTTTCTTTTGTAATGTATTTTACAATTTTATTTTATTTTTTCTGTAATGACAAAGCTGGATTTTCAGCAGCCATCAGTCCTCAGTGTCACATGATTTATCATTCTAATATGCTGATTTAGTGCTCAAATATCATTTATTCTTCTTAATATTATTAGTTTTGGATTCTTTGATGACTGGAAAGCTCAAAAGCTTCATTTATTTGAAATCTTTTGTAACATTATAAATAGTCACTTAGCCTTTAGTGGTTTCTACTGAAGCTCAAAGTAAACTGGCCTACATGTTACATCAAGCTACCACAGCTACAAAATGATAACAGGTGTTAGGCTGTTTTGATTAACTACAACAAGATATTGCAATAACAGCTTTTGATTCGCTGGTACGAGCGGCTGCCCCCTGGGGTCCTATCTGAACGGTGCTGTGCAGGGGTCCTAACTCTTAATGACACCAGCGGTGTTTCAAAATGCTGATCTCATTCTGCTCTAGCTCCACTTCATATGAAATGAGTTTTGTTTTTGTTAGTTTGTTTGTTTTTCCTGTTTTAATTTTTCTGGATTCCATTTTAATGCTTAAATCAAATTTTAGTAATCAAAAAATTGCATGTCTAATGAATTTAAATCATGAAACGTTTAACAACACTTTATTAAAAGTTGAACAAAAATGGCATTTTTAGGGCCCTATGAAATTTTTCTTTCTCCCTCTTTTTGTTATTTATATATATATATATATATAATTTTAAAAATATATAATAATTCTGTGTTTAAATTGTTCTGGATTTCATGGTTACATTTTTAATTGTTAATAGTCAAATTTTTAATTTTAATTAAATCAAAAAGCAAGTCTAATCAATTGAATTCATTAAATTATTATCATTGATAATAAGCCCTATTAATTTTTTTCTTTATTATTGAATAATTTATTTATTTTTTTGTATTTATTTATTTTTGCCTGTTTTTATTTTTCTGGATTTAATACAAATTTATTATCAAATACGGTGGTAATCGAATAAAGGCATAAAACATTAAAAATGTTTTTAAAAAAAATTAACCACATGAAAATATATATATATATTTTTTCAGGTAAATAAAATGCTCAAGTTGGTAAATCGTGATATTCCTTAAAGTAATAATAACAAAATTATTTAAACTTATATTTTTAAGAACAGTCTACTGTGCAGCAGTAATATATTTCTGTCACAGCTTCTTGAAGTCAAACCTAACTTTTATTTTAACGGATTGTCATGAAGATCTTTGAGTTTCTATGCCTGCTTTATATGACATGACAGTGATTTTTTTTATTAAATGAAAAGGTTAAATGCTGGTGAAGTGAACCCTCAGAGCAGCTCTGGAGATGAAGTTCATGTTCATGTCCTCATACAGTGAGACGGCATCACGTGTGCTTGAGTTTGTGTAGTAGACAAAACTGCGCTGCTCATTGTCATGAAGATCTTTGAGTTTCTATGCCTGCTTTATATGACATGACAGTGATTTTTTTTATCAAATGAAAAGGTTAAATGCTGGTGAAGTGAACCCTCAGAGCAGCTCTGGAGATGAAGTTCATGTTCATGTCCTCATACAGTGAGACGGCATCACGTGTGCTTGAGTTTGTGTAGTAGACAAAACTGCGCTGCTCAATCACACAACAAGCAGACTTAATATTTAAATAGTCTTTTAATATTCACAAACACTTGATTTATTAGTCTAAATAATAAATCAAATTCAGTGACATTCTGTGTTATACTGTAATTTTTTAAATCATAGGGCCCAAACTTCAGTCTTCAATATTCAGTTCTTGAATATCCTGTTTCACCCAGAAACATGGGCTGCAAATGCTTTTTCATGTTGAGTTTGAGGTTTATTCTCATGTATTATTTTGGCAGATATTATGCACCGTTGGACTGTTTTTAAAAAAATTTTTTTTATCTCAGATAAACCAGAGAACTATGATGTGTGGTACGAGAGCCGCTACGAGGAATGCGACAAAGAGGCCTGTCTCTCCTTCTCCAAGGACATCCTCTGCTCTCGAGTCACCGTGGACCACAACTACTATGCTATCTGTCAGAACCTGCTCTCTAGATTCGCCACCTGGCGCGGCACCACGGGCGGTCTCCTCCACGACCCCCCCGCCGACTTGGTCAAAGACGGCCGCCTCACGGCTCTGCTGGATGAGTGCACCAGGCCTCAGAAACAGTACGGTCGCTTCCAGGCAGCTAAAGAACTGCAGGAGTACCTGACAGAACTCACACAGCTGAGCAATACTAACAGGTAGTGTCAAGAACAAGGGACATTCTGTGCCCCCATCCTCCTCAAAAAAGACCACTGAATTACTTTTACAAATGTGCTACCAGATTCTGGAACACATTCATTCACCTTCAAGGTAGTCGCTATTTCGTTGCCGCTATCAATCATGCCAACATTGGCTCCAGTCCTGTCCGGGGACTAATTAAAGAAGTTTGCACATGAACATGGATTAAAAGGTCGTGTGAAAATCAGCAGACTAGAAGCTCAAACTGCTATGATCACACTAGTGTGTGTGTGTGATTGTGTGTGTGTGTGATTGTGTGAGTGTGAGTGTGAGTGTGAGTGTGTGTGTGTGTGTGTGTGTGTGATTGTGATTGTGAGATGATTGTAATATCTGATGCTTCAGTGAACCCTTGCTGCCAATATAGGTTCTGATCAAGATCCTGTAATATGGTTTCTAATTAATTTATAAATTGAGTGCTGTAGGTGCACCGTGAGCAGGGGTTATACCTGAAGTGATACAGGGAGCTTTGTTTATATTTGGGTGAATCTTAACAAAAACATGTCCAGGTCATGTTTTAATCCAAAATAAAAAATAAAAAAACAGCTATTTGAATCAAATACATTACTCTGTTAGCCAGGAATATAATAATATTTTAGGACAATATTTTCATTGGTTTTTTTTGTTTGTTTTTTTTGCTGATTATCATAATGCCAAGATGTTTAAGCTTTTTGTTTGTTTGTTTGCTTGTTTTGTGTTTGGTTTTTTTTTTCTGTTTTTGATTAGTTTTATTAGGTTTTTTTTGTTTTTGTCGTTTTTCTTTTTTGTTGTTGTAAAACAAAAGACAGTAAAAATGCTGTTAATTTTTTTCTCAACTTAAATTTATAGCAATATAATTAAATATATTTTTAAAATATCAATTTAAATCAGTTTCTTTAAGCAAAATGAGATTTTTGGGTGAAATATTACTTGGACATGTTCTTGACAGGCTTTGAGATTCATCCATTTGTGTTTTATTTTAGTCCCTATATTCGATTAACCATCTGGTTTCTTTGCTACGGGAAGTCAAGTCTTGACTGAATTTGAAAGTGTGAATGGTCAAATTATGCCACTTATGGCAGGGAAATTTGATCAAGTCTTTTCTGTTACAATGAACCTTTTTGGTGAGACGTTGATGCTTCTTGTAAAAGTGGCATTCAATGCCAGTGATGGTAGTTGGATGACTTGATTTAAGAAACAAACCTGATTTGAAAATACAAAAAGGAGAACAAAATGGATTTGAAACAACTAAGTATGCAAAAATAAAAATACCAAAGAATATTGTCACCATCGTGTGGTTTATTTTATTATTTTTGCAATGCTTTGCTCAAAAGGGTAACCACAATAAAGCTCTTATTTTTCATGTTCCTGTCTTCATAAACATTTGTTAGTGTTGTTGTTGTTGTTTTTTTACCTTCTTTTTGGACCAATGCAGTTTAAATTCTCGTATGCCGGCAACCATGACATACCTTCACTTGCACTTGCGTTGTGTTTACAGAGACAAGTTGCACTACATTGTCAGATCATAGTTTTTCCTCATAGACCCTTTAATGTTTTGCCCTCTTATCAATTTTGGCTACATATCTTAATGTTCTTTGGGTTCATATTTTTAGGGTTCTTTCCCCCCTAATAATGTTACCTGTGTGCCATTTTTCATGTTTGGAATAAGCAGTATTGAGAGATGATTGAGCTTAATGAATTTTTTTTTTTTAAATTTCACATTTCATATTGCTTTGTAGGCATTCCAACGTTTGAAATCCCGTTTATGTTAAAATATGATTTATTTGTGCATTTTCTGTAAGAAAAGTCTGCTTTCTGTATGTGTTTGTTTTGAGACTGAGGAAAAGTCTGGTCGTACTGTGCCTTTCATTCAAAAGTTGTATTTTCGACTGGATACGAATATAAAATGATATTAAAGTATGTCTATACTTACCTGCTCTGATTTATTTTCTTTATTGAATCAGCAGTATTGAATCCATTATGAGGTTTGATAATGGCAAATATTCAATTTAAGGCTGCATCATTTTGATTCCTGAGGTAATAATAATCTTCAGGTGTGTGTGTCTGAAGACCTCCATATGGTTTCATCTGGAATGAAGCCAACACATATCCTGAGCAGGAGAGAGAAGTGTGAGAAGATTAAACTGAACAGAACATGACCCTTTTTTCCTTCAGCTTTAACAGAATGTGAATTGCTTTAGGATAATCAAGAATTATCAGGCGTAACATTATTTTTGTAAGCCAATATACTGTAAATGAATATAAAGTGTTTGCAGTGACTCTGGGCTAAAGTTAAACACATTCACCCATGGCATCTAAATATAGATTTCTTCCTCTGGTTGCAAAACCCATGGCAAGGATTAGAGAATACAGAGTCAGCGCCGCTCTGACAGTTCTCGAAATCTAGTGGAGAGGGAAAAATTGAGGGTAAAAAAAGACATCCAATATCCCAGACAGTCCGAAACCATTCATATTATTCACTCGTTTCATACACTCTAGGCTAAATCGAGCCAAACGCCAAACAAGCAAAAAGTTTCAGGCTTCTTAAAGGGGTTTGGAAAGTAGAAAAAGCACATGAGCACCGGTGTCCGACATGTTTTTATTAGAAACCTTTTATTTAGAAGCAATATTTGTGATTTTAAGCGGGACCTTTTTTTTTTTCAAACCACATAACAGCATACTACTTATCCTATGAAATGCTGAAAGGCATGTTTTTATGGCTAATAAATAATATCCACATTAAAATATACAAGATATCAAAACAAACACACGGTTAAGACATACAGTACATTACCATTCAAACGTTTGGGGTCAGTAAGAATAATATTGTGAAATATTACCATATTTTTACAATTTTAAATGAATATGTTCTATTTTAATATATTTTAAAATGTAATTTATTCCTGTAATGCAAAACTGATCTTTCAGCAGTCATCAAGAAACATTATTATTGTTATTATTTTTTTTATTATCAAGGTTGAAAAAATACGTGCAGCTTAATATTTAATATATTAAAATAACTATTGTTAAAAATTAGTTTACAATTATTAAAATGCCTATTGAAAAGTTGTGCAACTTTATATTTTTGTAGAAACGGATCATTTTAACAATAGTTTTCAGTATTAAATGAATTATACGTTTTGCTCAGTAATATAAATATCCATGATGGATAGAACCATCCATGATGGACAAAATGAGCATTATAAATATAATTTATTCAATGCTGAAAACTGTTTTGTTAAAAATATTTAATTTTTTTTTTAAATGACTGTTGAAAACAGTTATGCAGCTTAAAGGTAGGGTACACTCTAAAAAAATGCTGGGTTAAATACAACCCAGTGCTGGGTAAAATAGGGACAAACCCAGCAATTGGGTTGTTTTGGCCCAGCGGTTGGGTTACTACCCAGAAGGTTGGGTTAAACATTTAACCGCTAGGTCAAAACAACCCAATTGCTGGGTTTGTCCCTATTTTACCCAGCACTGGGTTGTATTTAACCCAGCATTTTTTAGAGTGTATAGGTGATTTCGGGGAGGCTAGCAATAGCAAGCGAGCTTTGAAAGCATAAGATCCCACCCTCCCTGCAAATCACTCTCCAAAGCCACGCCTCCTCCAAAACACATGAACGTGCACAGGCAGAGCAGAAGCTAACCAGCGACACGATGAAAGTCACCATTGGTGGAGGGTTGAATGCAACGCTGTCAGATTAGCCCATGTCTCATTCACTGGTAAGAGAACATTACAGTACAAAGAGCATAATAATGCAATAATAATGATTTCCATTCTCGCTCGGTCTGCAATAGCGTAATGGAACGCACTGATGATGTATCATGTCTGCGCGGACAGGGTGCATGGAGCTATGCAAATTGACAGACAGCCTGAGGGAAATGATTCGATGAACATTTTATGGTACTACACCTTCCACAGACGATATAAAAACATGTAGACCAAATTGCTATCGGGATGTGAAGAGACTTTCAACCAGTATAAAAAAAAAAAGTTTTTGAAGCAAATCACCTACCCTGCCTTTAATATTTCTGTAAAAAATATATATATATATATTTTTTTTTTTTTCAGGATTCTTGAATGAATAGAAAGTTTAAAATGACAGAATTTATTTGAAATAGAAATCTCGATGGCGTTCTACCATGTCTTGTTACAGAAAGAAGCAGAGAGAGGAAGAGAGGAACTTTTCCTTTAGACATGATCTGAATGTTACATAGCCTTGGTCAGTAATGTGTGGGCCACTTAGTGGCCATAAGTTCAGAAAACATAATTATTTCATTGACACGGCAGTCTGAAGATGTACAAGTCAAGATACTGGTCATGACCTCAATGTACAGTCTGAATGCAGTTTAAAACATGCTATTGTCTTTATTTTTATCTGATGGTGCACACTCTAAAAAATGCTGGGTTAAATACAACCCAGTGCTGGGTAAAATAGGGACAAACCCAGCAATTGGGTTGTTTTGACCCAGCGGTTGGGTTAAATGTTTAACCCAACCTTCTGGGTAGTAACCCAACCGCTGGGTCAAAACAACTCAATTGCTGGGTGTGTCCCTATTTTACCCAGCACTGGGTTGTATTTAACCCAGCATTTTTTAGAGTGCAGAAAGTCCATGCAGGGCAACCTTTGCCAATGTGAACTGAAGCCTCACAGGTTGTTGAGACTGGAGTTACTGTTGACTGCACCTTGAGTGAAAATGGAAAAGTGGATTTATGACAACTTTATATGAAGAACAGATCAAATTTTAGCCTATATATATTTTTTTCTAAAATCAAATTTGAACCATTGAGGTTTAGCATTGCATGTGTGCACTGAATAATGTACTGTTTTATTTGAATGGTGTTGCTTCAGAAAACACCAGATCCTAAATTAGAACACATCTGCACGTTATGGTCAGAGGACTGTCCAGCTGTGTGGGGTTATATAAACTGTTTCATTATCTGGATGTTTGCTCAGGTTTACAGAGTGAACTTCATGAATCAGTTTGGAAGTGGCAAATGTACAGCTGCGAATAATGTTATTCAGTCTCAACGGGAAACTTTTGCACATTGCGGCCACTTTGTTGCTGATTATGCAGACAAAAACATCACATCATAAATGTCAGCATGTACTCGGAAGAACCACATGGCTGTGGTTTTCTGAAATTTGAGCTGTAAGCACAGATGTTGCACCTATATTTCACTGTAAATAGGGGCAGCAGGAAAGAAGCAAATGAGCAGCTTCTGGAGGGGAACTGTACTGTTTTTTCTCTGTGCGGAGATGACAAACTGAGTGATAATAAAGATAAAACTATTGAGATTTAAATGACAAGCACCTGATCTGACAGTGACGACAACACCATAAGCTGCTCTATATCTACCATCAACTGAGAGCTCAAATCAGAACGCACAGAAGCTCTATCTAAACCGTAGCTATAGACTACAGCTGCCGTCTGTGGCAGCATCTAACAGTATATAAACTCATAAATGACTGATTTTGGCACTGTACACAGGCATTAACTCTGAAAGATTGATTTCAAAACTGGTGATGTGTGAGGATATATTTAATTATCTTTATTTTGCTATACTGTATTAATATACAGTGGGTA